ATAAAAAGAGACAAAAAAAAGGAGACAAAAAGAGACAAAAAAAGAGACAAATAAAAAGGAGACACCAATAAATAGATAAAAAGGAGACAAATAATAATAATAAGGAGACAAATAATAATAATAAGGAGACAAATAATAATAATAAGGAGACAGTTGCTTATTTACTAATCGTAAGCAAGGAGGAAGGTTCCTGCATCTGTATTAGTAAGAGTAAGCATAGAGAAAAAAAGAGAGAAAAAAGGAGAGAAAAAAGGAGGAGAAAATAATAAATAGATAAAAAGGAGACAAATAAAATAGAGAGACAAATAAATAAGGAGACACCTCCTGGAGGTTCCTGCATCTAAATATAAGTGGTGTATTAGTAAGAGTATGCATAAAAGGGAGAAAAAAAGAGAAGAAAAGAGAGAAAAAAGGAGAGAAAAAAGGAGAGAAAAAAGAAAGAGAAGATAATAAATAGATAAAAAGGAGAGAAAAAAGAAAGAGAAGATAATAAATAGATAAAAAGGAGAGAAAAAAAAGAATAATAAGGAGGAAATAACTTACTTGCTCATCCTAAAGAAATAACAAGGTTCCTGCATCTGTATAAGAGGTGTATTAGTAACAGGATCCATATAATTATTAATAATTGCCTCCTTATCCGTAACAAATGTCTCCTCCTTCTTATTATACCAACCCTTATAATAAGATAAATAAATGTCTCCTTTTTTTGTTAATTGTCTCCATATATATTTACATACTTTTTTATGTTTATTACTACTTGTTCTTATAAATATATCATTACTTATATATAATTTATTTAATAATAATATAAATAAATTATATATATTATCTATAAATTCTTTAGGTTCTTTTCCTTGCTTATTTGCTGTCTCCTTTATCTTTATACCATGCTCATCAGTACCTGTACTAAATAAGACCCTATACCCTTCTTGTCTCTTGCTTCTTGCTATACAATCAGCAATTATATATTCATATGCATGCCCTATATGTGGTGGACCATTTGTATATGCAATTGCTGTTGTTATATAAAAAGGAGGACCTTTTTCTTCATCTTCTCCTTTTTCTGCTGCTGCTGCTGCTGCTGCTGCTGCTGCTGCTGCTGTTGTTGATGCTGATGCTGATGATGATAAACATGACGATTCTTTTAAGGGGTCATAAGGTAATGATTCCTGCTTATCCTCCTCCTCCTGCTGCTCCTGCTGCTCCTGCTGCTGCTGCTGCTCCTGCTGATGCTGCTGATGCTGCTGCTGCTGCTGTTGCTTGTATTGTTGGGGAATTAAATGAGGAAATGTTGTGTAATATTGTTTATGTAATAAATAATTTGCTGCTGCTGTTGCTGCTGCTGCTGCTGTCTTTGGACAAGAAGAGAGACAACGTCTTGTTAATAACATAGGTACAGGTAATGGTGGTGTTGTTGCTGCTGCTGCAGATAATGCACCAATAAATCTATTTCTTGTTGCTGCTGCTGCTGCTGCTATATAAGGAAAATCTATCATAAATTCCTTAGGTAAATTATCCTCTAGGGGTAAACCAAAGAAAACTAACGAACAATATAATAATAAATCACTTAATGATGGGGATACACCACCACTTAAATATGTTGAATTTGTTGTCTCTGCAGCAGCAGCAGCAGCAACAGCAGCAGCAAAAGCAGCAATAGTAGATGCACATACATATATGCACCTATTTATTATCTATATAATATACAAAAAATCAATTCAAATGGATATATATTCATAAATATATTATACTATTAGGGTTTAGGGTTTAGGGTTTAGGGTTTAGGGTTTAGGGTTTAGGGTTTACCGAAATGGTTGTCTAAGAAATCAAGAAGATCGAGAATTCGATTTCTATCAACACCGCCAAGAGTAGGCTGAAAGGAGAAGAGGACCCAGTCTATCCACTGCTGCTCTCTCCAATAAGCTGCTTCTGCTTCTGCTGCTGCTGCTGCTGCTGTTGTTGTTGTTGCTGCTGCTGCTTTTTTAGGGGGGG